GTGCTCGCCGGCTCCCACGCCCCCGCGCCGCGCGCCCGATCCGTGCGCTCCGAAGACCCCCCCGGGGCGGCCGCCGCTGGCGATGCTGCAAGAAACTTCTTAAATGACCGCGTCCCGCTGCCCTGCCGAGCGTTTCTGGGTTGGGGAGAGGAAAGGAAAGTGGAAAAAAACTGAGAACTTCCTGATCCCTCTCGCTGTGAGACATGTCTGAGACTCCTGCTCAGTGTAGCATTAAGGTAATGATTCGGTTCCCCTCCTTCCCCTTGGGCGATCGGAACCCCCTCGCCCCGGGGCTGCTGGTGCAGTTGCTAGGCTTGCGGGGAATTATTTGGGGCGCGAGGGGAAAAGATGCAGCTCGTGGCAGTGGCTGTACCCTTTAGCATAACCTTGCTACACCCCCCTCTCCCGCCGAGCCCCGTCTGGGCTCCTGGGCCCCCCACCCACCCCCTTTCTTTTTGACAATGTAATGCCGGTCTCAGTTGGTAGGAGGAACCCAGTTTGTCTTCAGATCTGTAGAACACCTCCGTAATTAGTGCGCTTAAAAATAAGAAAGGAAAAAGAAAAACCCCTTCTCCTTATTCCTACGCCCAACATGTGACTGAACTGTAACTTTTGTTCCCGAGGGGTGGTCTCCCTGGGGAAAAAGTTCTAGGGGCCCCACTAGGATGGTCTCTTTCTTTCTTTCAGGACTCTGGGTTGTAACACACAAGATTTTTTTTTTTTTTTTTTTTTTTTTTTTTTTTTTTCCCCCCGCCTCTCTTCTGATTGTGATTGCAAGCCCTAAGACAGCCTTGGTGTCAGCTTTTCCTGGGCATTGCATAAGGAAAAAAAAAATTAAACCAAGGTGAATAAAGTTGCTGAATAGTTATTTTACTCTAGTGCCTATGAAAGTTGAGCAATCTGAAAGTAGAAAACTCCTGTGATGCAGGGTGGAAGACAAGTGACCAGGCAAAATGACCTTCTCTGACAGTGCAGACAGGGTGCTGGAAAGCTGCAGTCTCCCGGCTCCCTGGCCTGTCCTAAGTTCAGGAGGAATATTTGCAAACAGCCCTTGTCTTCCAGGTAGTCGCGTGTGCACGAATATGGACAGTCTGTCTGTATGGGCTGCGGTGCCGTAGTTTGTTGCTTTAAAAAAGTTGTTGTGAAGTTTGCCACCATTGGGAGGCAGGATGATTTGTCTGTCTCCCCCAGTTATTTCTCCCATGCTGCATTTATTGGGTGCTTTATTTCAAGGCTCCGCCAGTCACCAGGAGGCAAACCTTTTCTGTTCCCTGTGCAAGGCTGAAGTTTCTGAAGTTTGCTTCTGGCCTGCCCTATTGACTGTGTGCTCCTTAGATGAATGTGGCAGAAACAAGGAACAGATAAGCTGTTTTCTCCTGTGGGGAGTTAGGAGAATCTTTCCTGTTTTAAGAGTGTTTCACCTAGGGTCTGTATGAGGGAAAGGAATTTTGTCCCACTGGCTTACTAGGTTTTCACAATTAGAATCAGACCTTCGTGTTTCTTATCAGGACCGATGGCCGTGGGTTTGAAGTAAGGCCGGTGGGGACTCAAAAGGTGCATTTGGTGTCTTTGTTTCTGCCTCACAGAAGAGCCCAGAGGAACTTTTGGGCTTTTGTATTTGTGCACATCTTGGGTAGGCTTTGGAGCAGGGCCTCACTAAAGAGTTTAGGATGCCGTCATAGTTCAAAACCAGTTTCTTTTGCAATATAATTTTTTTTTGTCGAAATCAGGAAAATCTTGCTGTATGGATAATGTAATTTATTTCACACTTCATAACAAAAACAGAGGTGACTAAATGATAGGGCATTATCAGTAAATTGTATCTGGCTCGATGGCAATAAACCTGACAAGAGAAAAACCTGGACCAACTAGAGCACAATGGCTTTCGACTGAAAAAAAAAAAAAGAAAAGAACCACAATGCAATCTATCCTGTGACTTCTGATACCGCGTCTAAAGTGACTGCATTCCTGCTGTTCTGACGGGCTGTATGCTGGATTCAGGAATGAATGCCTCTACTGAACAGCAGGCTTGTTTCTTTGCACCCCAGTAGAAAGAAGAGCTAGCACACACAGGGAGCCAAGCCCCAACCAAACACGTTCTCAAATGTGATACGGAAGTTGGATGCGATTTGTGTTATCTTTTTTTTTCCTTATTGTCTTAGGTTGTTTATTTTTCATTTTTTTAACTTTGGTCCTGGGGGTGGAGCCCAGAACCTTGTATTATACAGGATAACTGAACTCTGCTCTTAGACCGTAACCCAGCCCATCCATCCTTTCTGGGTGCCTCTTTTATTTTATTTATCAGTGTGTAATGTGCCACTCAAATATATTCTTCCTCACCACCTATGTAAGTGACATTTTTGTTTTGGATTGGGGTCGGTGGAGCTAGTCGGAGAATATTTGCCTAGGCTGTGGGTGTTTTTAGGTGTGTGTGCATGAAGACCATCTCTCCATGGAGTTGCTTGAGTTTTGTCATGTTCCGTAATAAAGCACGGAGATCAAGGACCAGGATTAGTTCAGGGCATCTGAAAATGTTCCAGTGATGTGTGCTTCATTTAGTCCTTGGGATGTGGTACAGTGATGGCATGGGGGAAAAAAAAATGTTTACAAGCAAGCACAGGCAAGTTGCTTGCTTCTAGGGGGCATTCCTTGAGCCCAGAAAACAACAAACTTTTCCTTGGCGTGGAGAGTGCATTCGAGTCTTTGAAGGATGAGCTGATGCTAAAGGCAGGAGGAGAAGACTCTTTGAGTGGCAAGATTTCTCTCCTCTCCTGAAACCTTCCCTATCTGCTCTCCTGCGGCACAAACAGCTGGTCAGCGGGGCAGTAAATTCCTCAGCAGCTGGTGTGATGGAGGCCACAGGAGCCTGGCCAGAGGCAGCCACAGCGGGGAAGTACTTTGTTTACTTTTGAGCCCTTGTCTGTTCTGCTAGGAAAGACCAGAGTCAGATCTGGGTGGAGTTTCCAAGGTGAAAGTTTCTGAATTGGTCAATCAGTGACACCATGTAAAGATGACTTGAGTGCAAGGTGGCTGTCGCTACAGCTGAGAAGGCCTGTGTGTCTTCGCACTTGGGCACATCTTTCCTTTACCTAGGAAAAGAGAAGCTTCCCCTGCCAGGCCCGAGGTCATCCAGAACAGCACCAAGCCTTGTCAGTTCCCTGTAACAGCCCCTCTGTGAGGAAGGCACTCTGCTCCCTTCCTCACCAGTTGGGGTTGGTTGATCATCTCTCTAAGAAGTCACCCTCCGCCCCCAGAAGACTGAGTTAGTCACAGGACAGAGGAAGACAGATTGGCTTTTCCACCATACGCCTTCACCTTCACGTCACCTGTTCAATTTTAAATTCAGCTAAGTTACGGCAGAAAGTGGTTGTGGCCCAGCCGACACAGGCCTTTTGCAAGGCTTGGCACAGCACTTATATTGGCTGAGGTGACCCGGGACACCAAAGACTGGTGGCATAGTGCCTTGGCCCTTCTTTTCCTGTTCTTTATCAGTTCCCATTTACGATGGGATGACATTCTCATTTAAAATAAGTGTTTTGGAGAGACATCAGGCAGAGCTGGTGTCTAGATGTCTCATACTTCTTCGGGTTAGCAAGGGTAATCTTGATGCCTTAGTTTCTCACCTGGCAGCTGGCACAGAGTCATTTCTGTCATGTTTGCCAACACCAAGTGAGGTATGGAGGAGGTGAGTGCCCCTTCCTCTCTGTCCATGCGTCACCTCAGTTAATAAGGTTACCCAAGGAACTCTGCCTGGTGTCTCTCCAAAAAATAAAAGGATTTTGATAAACTAATAGTGTTTGATTATTTTGATAATCTCAGAAACTGCTTTGGTATCTAAGCAAAGAACAAAAAAGGAATTGAGGTGAGACTGTGGTCCACCCCTGTAATCACTTCACTTGGGAGACTGGAAGGAGGATCAGGAGTTCAAGGTCACCCTTGGCTACACAGTAAGTTAGAGGCCAGCCTGGGCTATATGAGACCCTGTCTTAAAAAAAAAATAAAAAAGGAAGAATTTAGAAAGAGAACGAAAGTCTTGAGGGATCCTTAGAGAGGCCCAGGTGGATAAGCAGGTCTGTTAGGCCCCCTATCCTCTGACAGTGTCATCAGGGAATGGTGAGACATTGATCATTAAGTTGGAGTTGAGACATCTTAGCCAGACCCTGGGCTACACATTTCTGTTTTCACAGTTGGGTTCTGAGAGCTAAGTGGTCGCTTTAGCATATGGATGACTGAACGCGGTTAGAACACAGGCCTACAGGGTCTCAGGCCACTACATCAGATTCTCCAGGTTCATGGTGTGTCTATAAAAGGCCAAGGAAATCTGATACAATAGGCTCTGGGCTCTGGCACTTCCTAGTGTGGTCCATTTTAATCACAAGCCAGCTGGTCTGAGGGCACGGAGCTATGTGCCGTGGAAGATGATGTGTGTGGGAACACTGGGCTGCGAGGGTCTAGTCAGGTGTGAGAAGAGGAAGTGGTAGGAGGTAGGGATGAGGGAAGAAAGGCCTGCTGGATTTGGGTTTGCACCACAGTTTGCCGAGATGTGTATGTCTCCGACGGTGGCGTGTGAGCGTTAGGCATTTCCACTGTTGGCTGCAGGCCGGGCTGCCTGCTCTCACATCACCCCTTGATGAATCCATGGGTGAGCCCCAGGCTTCTTCACCCAGAGTCAGCCAGACCTACTTACACCTTCACTTACGTGTAGTAAGCACTGTCTTTAAGAACAGACCTGGCAGCCGAGACGAGGTTCCTATGGAAAAGGTAGGTAAAGCAGGGGAAGTTACCCCAGCTTGAAGCAGAGGACACGGAACTAAGACGTGGTCTCAAACACACGCCACAGGGGCAGGGAGTATCTGGGAGTTACTTGTAGAGCAATTTCATTTTGTTACTGGTTTTGAAAGGTTGGCCTTTGCTGCGGTTCTCCCAGCTGCGGGAGTCTATATCATAGGGAGCCCCCTTAGGGTGTGCGGCATAAGGTGGGACCCACTTTTCTCTGTGAATACCAATTTAGTAAAACAGCACCGAGACTTGGTCTCAGGCAGAGTCCGTCTTTGCTGCATTGTTCCAATAGACTCGAGGAAGCAGTATCTGTGTATTTATTGAATAGAGTGTGACTTTTCTTCAATGTTCCCACGCCAACAGGAGCCCGGCTTCAAGACTATTCGTTGCTAAACCCAGTATTTGGGGGAGAGAAAGGCTAGACTAAATTAGGGAGAAGTTAGAATTACAGCCTATT